CATGCAACTCAATACTTGCTTTATTTATCAAGGTGAAAGTCACATTTTTCTTTAGAGAGTGAATCTTTAGCCATTTCTAATGAAATTTTTATACTAGGGTACTTTAATGGGTATAAGCAATCTACTAGAGAAAGGGACAATTATAAACTCTTTATTTATTTAGTCGATATTGGAAAATTTTTGTCTTTTATCAGACATGTTGACTTTGACACGTTTTCCTTCTTTCTCTCTTTTCCTGCTCCCTGTCCTACATGACTGCTTTTCCAGCGTTTGCAGAGGAGAATCTGACATTCTAGGCAATATTCTGGTTGCTTCTGCAAGAGATAGAAACACCAGTGATTCATTTAGTAATACACTTGAATTTTGTCTCTCCATTTGTATTCTCTTCCTCATGCTTTATTGAAGAACTGACCTTAAGATCAGCTAGAGATTTAGTTTAGAAATTCGAGCTGTGCCTTACCCAAAATACACATCTTGCAGAATACCAAGGGTACATAGATGTCCCTTTATTTGCTATTGTTTTAAAATAAGAGGAGTCTAAGCTTCAGTCTCTGGAATTTTCAGTGCCTACCCAGTTTGGGGCCATTGATGCTATGATGATGCAAACAAAACATCATGTAGTTACATAGAGTTGGTAACAGTATTTTATTGCGATGCTGTTTAGCACCAATGCCAAAAAGTCTTCATGGATGGTGCTGTACTTTGCTGTTGCCTCCCACTCAACAAGTGTCCTACCTCAGGCACAAACATCACAGAATCAGTGTCGTATTTTCTGTCAAGGATGAGGTGTCTGAAAAACACTTTTCTCCTCCATATCAGACAGTTGTGTTTTTCTGTAGTGGCAGGAAAGGGTGGAGAGGAGGAAGTGTTGAGCTCAGAGCTGCTTTTGTGCTTACCTCTCTTTCCTTTTCTTGGTCTGGGGTATATTTATATCTGCCAGCTGGGACTCACCTATGGCTGCATGTCTTACCTTGCAAAGCAAATTGACTTTTTAGGATGCTTAAAAGACCCATATATGCTGATGCATTTGCACCAGATATATCTGAAGCCACATCCTGTTACATAAGCAATTGTAGCCACAAATAGAAAAAAGGGTACATTTTCCACTTGTTATTCAAGTTTTGATAAATTTAAATGTGAGACAACATCTAGCTTGTTATCTTGATTCTTTTTGCAGCTCTCTTCAGATGAAAGCATTTGAAAGAAAACTGCAGCTAGATGGAAGGTGACAGACAGATCAAATACATGGAGGAACAATGCACATTCTGCCTCTCTCTTGTGAAAAAGGTAGATATAGGTTCTGGAAAGCTTTGGAGGCCCAAGGCTTGTTAAACACATTTTCAGAGGATGCTGAAAACGTATTCAGGGAAAAGTCTCTGGCAACATTAAAGTTGCTTAAAAAAAATAACAACACTTCTTCCTAAATACAAGCTCCTCTTCCTTTTAGTTATAAATCACTAGTTACTTTCATCAAAGCAAACATCAAAAGATAAATTTTTCTTGTTAACCACATACCTAATAACATATGTTTTTTTTCTGTTGAAGGTCAACTTGACCTTTTGTTAAAACAATACCATAGAGTAGCTAGTTAGAGTGTTAAGGAGAAGCAGCAAATTGGTAGCATTGCCAGCAAGAAAAAAATGGAGGCCTCCTGCTTGTTAGTATCAAAAATGTATGTGACTGCATGATGGCCTAGTCAGCTAACTCCATACAGCTGTTATTTTGCTTTGTGACCTCCATTTTCGAAACCTTGAATGCTTAACTTAAAGTGTATGAAAGCAAATTATATGCATTCACTGGCAAAGCCTATCTTTCAAAGACTCTGGCAAAGCATTTAGACCCTCATGTAAACTCCAGTTAAAATGCATAAATAGTTGAGTACATGGGATATCTGAGCCTAAAGGAGACCCACTAAACATATTGCATAATTAGCTTCACTGAAATCAGAAGCCAAATACCCAGCATTTAAACAAGAAATGCTGGCCTTTTTTTCTGTGTACTATATACAAGATAAAACATGAAATGTAATTAAGCCTTGGAACACAATCTTAGATAGGTTTGGAGTCCTAAATGAAGGAAAGAAAAAGGACACCAATTCAATAATAGAATTCAAAGTAGGTTCCAGACTCAGCATGGGAGGATCCAGGGAGACTGGAGCCCAAACCTCTTTTTGCAAATAAGGGGCGAGACTTACTGAAGGAAAAAAGGGATAACATAGCTGGCTTGCTTGTGTTAAACTTGTCTTTCAGCTGAACAGAAATTCTAGTTGACTTCAGTGGAGTTTTGCCAAAACAGAACTGTATTAGGCACTGAATAGGATTTCAGGACTTCAGGTTCATTGATGTACTTTATAGACCCCTGGGAAATTGTAGTAAATACCTACCTTCCCCTTAGGAAGTGACTCTAATGATACTCTCTGCTTCTTACATTAAGTTGTGCAGGTTTGGTAAGAAGCCTTTCCCCACAACTTTTAGCATATTGTTGCATTGATTGGTGCTGGCATGAAATTAAATAGCAGCAGTTTGGGACTCACACTACTTTGGTAGAAAATCCTTGTAGTATTTTCTGTGTTGTTCATGTTTACTGGGTTTATTATAGCAGCCTGGATAGTAGACAGGGTGCTTTAGCTGAGAAGAAACCAGTCATTCGTATTTTTTTATTAGCATTCTTGAGTCATACTGGTCAAATTATACCAACTGTAAAACATTGAGCTATGACTAATGAGCCCTTTGGAGAACAGAGGTGAGTCCTGCTTCACATTTCATTCTGATGTGCAGAAGGACAACTACCATTTGCTAATGCTGTGAGCTTCGATAACTGGGACATTTGCTGTGTGCTGCACCCTATTAAAACAGCTTAATTTCCTGTTGGCAGATCATATGTCTTCAGAAAAACATTGCCGACCAGAAACGTTGGCCACAGAGTCTTAGGTAGAATTTGTTCACTTCTTGAGCCTCGTCTTGAAGGCTGCTGAGGACCTGCAGCCCTGGTTCTTACTGCTGGGAGCTACTTCCTCTTGGGACTTCTGAAAACTAGCATAATGTGTTTTAAGCCAAGTATCCAAAAATGACTGTATGAGTCATTAAGTAGTAAGCTGTCTGGGGGCCCAGCCAGTCTTCCTGTTCTGCATTTATGCAGTGTATAATATTATAGGGGTCTGCATCTGAGTGTCTTATGAGCTACACAGTACACTAGATATTAATAGTAGTCACAACTAAGGGATATAGTTTGGCTGCATCTGATCTCATCAGAGCCACGTGTCAAATCTTTGCAGAGCTGAATGCAGAAATCCAGAGTCCCTAGACCTCACCCTTCATTGTTTGAGCAGCAGGTCATCCATCACAGTAGTCACTCTGTTCTATAAACAGCAGTTCCCCATGAAGTAAAATAAAAATGATGAGAAGGAAAAAAGATACTCGATGCAGTGCATGATGTTTTGTTTGCTCAAATGGCACTTAGAGCTCTGCAGCAAGTGGAAATGGGGCCTCCCACTGCTGTGTCCTAAGCAAACGTGCTGGAAAGTACAATCTTTTCCACGCAATTATCTTAAAATTATTTTGCATGTTAAGTAACATTTTTACTTGGGCATTGAGATCATCTGCAAAGCATAAGGAAAATTTAGGAGATGCAACATTGCTCAAGCTATCTGTTCGAAGATGAGTCAAAGTCACAAGATTTGTTTAAAGTACATAATAACTTGGGGTTCTTCTCTATGTGCCATCTTGCCCAGGGGTTCAGATTTTTCAGCTTTAGATCTTTAACTAGGCTGATAAAAGACTACTTTTATCAAGGGAGTTGAAGGTCACAAGTAGTCATGTGATTGCATGAGTTAGCCTTCAGAAAGAAACACCAGATACTATGTTCCTTAGCAATATGGACTAGCATTATTGTCCTCTTAAATTGTTTTTCAGTACCAAGGAAGGATGGTATTTCTAGTAATTCTTCCTAAGAATATGAATAGACCCTCTTGTTGCTATACACTCAAGGAATGATAGTGAATCTTCTTTATAGCCATAGGGAGATCACATTTTGCAGCATGTGGGGATAAAGCCCTTCTCAGAGCAGCATGCTTGTGTGTGAATGAATGCTTCCTTAATGGAAGGTCCCCACGTTTCTTTGGGGACCTATATGTGTGTCAAAGCAGGGCTTGCAAAATACCGGCCACGTTTCAGGCACTCTCATGAAACTGGAACAATAAAAGTGAATGTTGCTGAGAACCATAAGGAACTACAGTATGTAACCATCTTCTTTTTAGTCTAATCTTGATGACTCATCCTCTATGAGCAGCAACATTCATGACACTAATGGGGTCTGACTGAATTGATTCTAGAATATCTTTGGTGACCTCATTCCTAAAAGCCTAAAAGCCACGCATTCCTAAATGTCAAAAAACCAAAACCTCTGTCAGCCTCTCCTCTCCACTGGACCTTGCAGAGGGAACTGGCAGTTGGCATACGTGGACCTCACGGCAGGTCTACAACCTGTCATGACAGTTGCTGCATACTTAAAAGCGCTGAATGTCTGAGTTCAAGGTTGGGACTTGGAAGCACGTGAGCCTTAGTTACATAGGGAAGAAGTATCATGGCTGTATCTTTGCTTTATTTTCATTCCCCAGTGTGCTGGTTACACCAAATCAGATGATATTAGATTAATTAGACTAATAGACCTTAACTTGTTTCTCCTTTCTGAAGTAAAATTTGTGTGCCTACATCATCTATCACTTCTTATTCTTGCCCCAAAGGTATAAGATACATTTACACACCGGAAAGTGGCACGCGATGAACTTCTGTTGGCACTCAGCTAAACTAAGAGTGAAGACAGAGAAATTCTGGGTAGAGCTTGAGGTAAATCTCTTCTGCTCAGGTATGGTCTTGTCTATAAACTTTAACTACTGCAGCCAGCCCAGGTTACACTGGCCTGATGGCTCTCTTCAGCTGAGTTAAGACCTGCTTTGGTGTTGGGGTTGAGGTGTGGGGTTTTGGGTTTGGGTTTTTTTTTTGTGAAGGGTATATTAGAGAGTCTAAATTGCTTTAATTCCTTATGGACAAAAGACAAGAAATATTAACTAGGAAAGCAGCTAATGAGATAAGGAAGGCTACAGTTTTATGGATGGTGAGACTTGAAATCAGGGTGACATAACTTTCTTGAGGTCACATCAGAGCCTGCGGCAAAGCAGGGATTAGAATGCAAGATCTGGCCACTTTTCACAGTTTATTTGTATGTTTGTGTTAAGTCAGGAAAACATGGGTGTGAGGGAGAGAGAAAGGAGGCTGTTTTATTCTTGAGCCTGTGCGATTATTTCACAAGCAGTCTATAGCTGTATCTGCAAGTTTTCAGACACGTAGGGCTCAGCTCTCCCTTTCAGTAAGCAGAATTCTGGTCCAAGCCCAAGGATGTATACGCTCCTAGACATATCCTAGTCTTGGACCGTTCATTGATACATAATACTAGATCACATACGCAGTCTGAAGTGACATAGGGACCTTACTGATTGCTTGAGCCCATGTGGCATAATCTGTCCCCTGCAATGGGAAGAGCAAACAACAGGTAGCCATATTCTAACGCCAGCAGAAAACAGCCTGTATCCCCGGTAAATTTTTCGCAACTGAGAAGTGAGTTGCTTAGGTGTGCAAGCTGGACTGAGGGTTCTGGCCCTAGTAATCATTTGGGTGATGTGTTTATTATTTTTCTAGCCATTTAGGGAGCAAGTATTATTACCTGAGAAATTCTGGAGTATCTTGCCGTTTTCTTCTCTTAATTCAGTCCTATTCTTCTAATACATCTTCACTTCATGCACGTTTTCCTGCACTTTATCATCTACTTCCTTTCCTGTATCTCTTTCTGTCACTATCTTTTTCCTCCAGCTCACCCCAGTTCATTCTGTTCTCTCCTACCAGATCACTTTTCTCACGAACATACAATAACCCTAATATGTTGGTATGCACTGAAAATATATAATCATAGCATAATGTATAGATGAAAGAATATGGTATGGTAGAGAAACTGTGTAGAACCGTACATTTATTTTTGTTGCATGTGTTTATTATAATACTGTGAGCCCCAAGAAGAAAACTACTTTAACCCAGGCATGTTGAATGTTAAATGTTTTCACCAGCAGTCTGGCTGACATAAAGCAGCAAGTACATAACCCCAATTAATGAAATAGCACAAAAGCAGGCTTTCCAAAGCAATGTTAGGCTTTAAGTATAAGAGTTTTTATGCCTTCTATCTTTGTTCATTCCACTTTATCATGGTCTTTTCTAGATGATCACCACATGCACTCTAACTAGAAAAGTCTTCTGAGTAGATGAAGAGAATTGTTTTATCTGCATTTTCCAGGAAAAAATCCTATGTCTGAGTCCCTCTTAACTAATGTAGAATTGAAAAACTGAGAGGAAGCTGATCAAGACAGTAGCATCGGTTTGACTCAATCAATTTGCTTTAATCAGTGCAGGTACTTTTTGTGAGCTCTTTCTTAAGTCATAAACAGCTGAAGCTGATTCAGTCTATTACCTGTTGTTAATTCAATTCCAGATTGTCAGTCTATATAGGTAGCTACTTTAGCTAATCACTTGACTAAGAGTCAAGACAGTGAGTAGACCCACATCTTGGCTATCTGTCCTCTTCCATTGAGTGTGAGGATCGCTGTTGAGATTCTGAAGGCGAAGAAATGAGCATCTGTCATAAAGAATTCATCCTTTCCCATTCAGGCCACAAGAAAAGTTATATAGATCAAAATAAAATAATGGCAGAGAAAACAATAGTGGATTGGAACAATTGTGCAAAATCTCCTTCTCAGCCATTGGCTTTGGGAACAGTTTGCTGCCTAAAGGTAGGGTTTGTGTTTTTGTGGGAGCAATGCTGTGTTTGGTACTACTTATGTACTTCTGGTACTTTCTTACTTCTTACTCTTACTTCTTCAACTGCTACCGTTAGAGGAGGTGTGTTTGGGCCACTGATTGAGTAGACTCAATGTCTACAGTAAAATGTCTAATGTTATCATGAAATATTTAATAATGGCAAAGTATCTTTGTGAATATCATGTGGACAAAATGACTTACAGGTATACTCATGTGTCATTGAGCAGAAATGTTCTGAGTGGTGTTACAGAGTAACACTTGTGGCTGGAAGGGACCTTGTGGAAATTTCCTGTAACTGCTAACCTTAATGAAGCTTTGTAAGCAACAATGAGGAATATAACAGCATAATAATTAAAAAACAACAACAAACAACTAAAATATAGCTCTAGAGGATTTTCTTATGTGATACTTAACCATATTTCTCAAACTTGTATTTAATAATTATGTTTGAACACTAAAAGCCTTCTTTCTATGCTGCCCTCTATTTGCACATTGACTCAGAAAAGGGCATTTGCCCCCACAGTTTTAAAACAAAGCCTACAAAACAGAGGAAGGAGATACTTACAAAATCAATAGGTAATGTTATCTGTTTAGAAAAACAAGAGCATGATACAGTAATATGCTGCTTTTTTTCTTCCAGCAGGAAGTGTCTACAGGAAGGTGCATCAACCCAAGTTTTCTACTTGCTGACTCACAGAAGTGCCAGTCTGTACAAGGCTTCCTGGTTGCAAATTTTCAAATGCAGTTTCAGTGAAAATCACCTTCCAGGTAGAAGGGAATTAAATGAACTGCCAGTTCTGGAAGCGTTAATTAATTAATAAAAGACTGGAAGAACTCCAAACACTTTTTGGCAATGTGGCCTTGTCTTCCTCACTAAGATGAAGTTGTGGAGGCAGTACTTGCATACTTGTGCATATATGGATCTATCTTATCTCAAGGTGACTATAGTTATGTCTACATTAGTGAGCAGCACAGGAATTGATTTCTGGACCCAAAACAAACAGTGCTAAAGACTCAGTGTCTTATATGCTTATATAGACCCAGTATATATATGTTGTTGTTTTTTTTAAGGTAGCTAATTTGGACAGGCTCTAGTCAGGTCCCATGGACTGACTGCCCTTTAGCAGCTGGAGCACCCAAGGTAAGCTTATTAAGCATATCTTCCAATTTTGTTTTGTCCAAAAGAAATCCAGCCCACGTGCTCTGAGGCCATTCTGCAACATGGACCCAAGTGCTGATTGTGGGAGCTATTGGGACACTCTTTGAAAAGCACCTTTCTGGTTTTAACAGGAATGCTAATGTAGGCACACTCTCTCAACTGCCAGTTACACTGAGGTAAAGTCATAATGCGCTATTGATGCTTTCATTTTATTACAAAGCACATTCATCACAGGAGCATCGGGTGACATTGCTGTTTATGATTAGTGTCAAGGACTTTGTTGTCATCTATTTTCCCATCGTTCAGCCCAGATAAAATATTCTGTAAAGATGTATTAAAGGCTTTTGCTTTGTACCTTTGTATCTTCTTATTTTATTCCGCTTTGTAACACTCAGTCCACTTGTAATTTCAAGAGGCTTTCAGTGGTTTATGTCAGGCTCATAGGTTCTATGCCATACAACAAAAGCACATTCAAAATTCTTTAGGATATTTTTTTCTGTATCCTCTTTTGTATTTCTCAATTGACTTTCAGAGATTGTTATATGCATAAAAATGTCTGCTAGCATTGCTCCAGACTATGACGACAGGTTGGGTCATTATCAAGGGTTCTTGGAAATCAATGAAGATGTTGGAGCTATTTATGAAAAACTACATAGTCATTTCTAACTACATTGATGACACTACCAGAAGAAAATCGTTAAATTCCACAATTTGTTGACTGAAACTGAAGGAGCAGCTTTTAGCTGTGGCTGTATTTTCAGTTTCATGCTTGTCAGTAAACCAAGTGGGAAAATTTGTCCTTTCATAAATTCTGTGCAAGAAATCTGTTATGAACACTAATCACTAATATGAACTCTGTTTTGGCTGCCCTGGTGCTACAGTAGTGGTACCTCTTGACAGAGGCATAAACAGCATCTTACAGTACAGTATTTAGTTATATATATCACATTTGTAGTGCATAAAGTGCATGTTGCATGAACAGGGCGGTCATCTATCTGAAGGACTGGTCTAAAAAGGTCCCTAACATTCCTAGTTAGTTTTAAAAGGGGTTCAGTTAAACTGTTATTGAAAATGACCAGAGCTGGAGCTACAGTTCCTGAAATTGTTGTATTGTGGGCCTGCCACTGACTGTCATTACAACAGGTGTATCCATCACACCAATAGTGCTATTTCTTTTTAGCCTAAGTAGAGACAAAGCATAAGCTTGTTGTGGATTCAGTACCACATAAACAGGAATAGCGAAGTTCAAGTAAAATAGATCTTTAAAAATGCGACTGATAGTAGTAGAAGATTTTTGTTGACAGTTTTTTTTCAAAGATGTTCCAAGATTGGAGCCAAAAGACTTTGGATGAACTGATGCACCAGGCTAAGAATGGAAAGCAGTGGGTATAGCACTGTACAGGGCTGGCTTTTCAAGGGGCTTTTTAAGGAGGGTGGATCCTGGAATCAGGGAATTCCCTTTCCAAGAGTCTGAAGAATTTAACAGAAATCAGGGGTGTGGGTAGTGAAAGGAGGACTGGGTGAAAAGCTTTTTCTATGTGTGTTACTCTTTTCATAGGGAGAAAAAAAACAACCACAAGAAACCAAGAGAATAGTGAAGGATAAGATGCCTGAGGAGAAAAACTCAAGTATGGGAATGGGCATGCTTTAGAGCAGAACAGAAAGCAGGGAGCTTGGCGAGAGGATATGAAAGAAAACAGGACTACTGAAAGGGCATCCATGTGGAAAATAGTCACCCAAGATGAGAGGTAGGTTGCAGCTCATGTATGAGTAAATACAGCCATCAGAAATTGGAACAAATTGGTGCCACAATGAGCATAGCTCTTCATTTGTGGAAATGCTGGCCTAGAATAGCTTTACTACACTTCTCTGTTGGCTTTAATTTTGACTGCTAAGAAATTTGTGGCATACCAACTATACCATAATCAAGAGATCGAATTGAAAGCCCAGAATGGCTGTAACGAAGAGAGGAGAGGGAATAGTGGGTGTGTGCATGTGGTTCCTTAAGTGTGTATAGTTGACTGTTTCCCAGGATTGTGTCTTGTGGTTTTATTACGGAGAGCTAAAGCATGATCCAGTAGGTAAGACAGATGACAGATCAATAAGACCTTAAGGCTTTTCTGAGTAGCTGTAACTGTTTTTTAAAGCTGTCTCCTTACTGTGTAGAAACCTTCAGATCTTCTGCTCCACAGACAGAGGGAGAATGTTAATGCCCAGCATGATTCAAGGATTGGAGCATCTCCTTTATGAAGAAAGACTGAGAGAGCTGGGACTCTTTAGTCTGGAGAAGAGAAGGCTGAGGGGAGACCTTATTAATGCTTACAAATATCTCAAGGGAGGGTTGAAGGAGGAGGGAGCCAGACTCTTTTCAGTGGTTCCCAGTGAGAGGACGAGGGGCAATGGGCACAAGTTGGAACATAAGAGGTTCCACTCAAATATGAGAAAAAACTTCTTCACAGTGAGGGTGACGGAACCCTGGAACAGGCTGCCCAGGGAGGTTGTGGAGTCCCCTTCTTTGGAGCTTTTCAAGACCCGCCTGGATGCAGTCCTGAGTAATGTGCTCTGTGTGGTCCTGCTTTAGCAGGGGAGTTGGACTAGATGATCTCTGTGGTCCCTTCCAACTCTAAAAATTCAGTGAAATTCAGTGGACTATTAACTTGAGTTTCAGATTTAACATGAGCTTGCCTCAGTTAGATCCTTTAAACTTTGACCATTCAGTAGTGTTGATTGGTCATCTGCTGTGGATGTTACTGGGAGATCCAAGTTGTAGCAGAAATGCCTGGGTTGTGAAGCTCTGCTGGCTACCCAGTGCACCACGGTTGAATACCTCTTTTTTTTCCTTTTTTTTTCTTTTTTTTTTTTCCAGTTCATTGCCATTCCTCCTTTCCCAAGAAGGGATGTTGGGGGGCAGCTGGTAAGAAGCACACTAAAAGCTGCTGGTGTTATGGAGGTTGTGCTCAAAACTTTATGGACTCTCACCACTGGTGTTAGAAGCTAGCTGGGTCAAGTGGCTCAGAGCAGACCACTCTTGTTTCCTAAAGGTGTTCTCTTTTGTAGGAATCAATAGTGCAACTTTACGCTCATTAAGTATTCCAAGCAATGAAAACCCGACCGTTTAAACAATGTACTCTGGTTACTTCTTTCTCAGGGAGCAAACAGGACTGACTGAGCTTGACAAACACTTGTTAGGTCACCCCAGGAACACATTTATACAATTGTTTGGCAGTTCTTAAAAATCTGAGTCATGTCCTTTTCCGATTCAAAGCTTCACTGGTGAGATCCCTTTTTCTGCTTTTCACCTCCCCACCCCAACACTATTCACACCTGCTTGCTCACCACAAAATGTTTCTCATGTTATTCCAAGTGGCCTATCCCTGCAACTGTTAGAGTATTAGAAACAGTCACAGTCCATTTTTGAACAAAACCCTTACCTAAACACTGAACTTGCCTCCCTTGGGTTTTTGTGGGTTTGTTTGTGTTTTTGTTTGTTTTTTTAGTGATTACATTCATATGAGCCAACTAATACCAATTTTGAACAAAGATGCTGCAAATCCACCTGTTTTTTCCCCCATAAAATTACAGCAGTAATTAAAAACATGGAAATTTACAGTATCAAGATTTGTTTGTAAGCAACTGAAGAGCAGGACAAACAGGTAAACTTATCAAACATATTTCATTAGTCTAAAAACGTGCTATTATTTGCACTAATTAGGTTTGGGTCTTTTGCTTTTTACAAAATAAATTATTGACAGATTTGATATTGACAATTGACCATATTGTGTTCAGGGGTAAAATAAGTAGCAAGATAAACCATTAGAGGCAGCTGAGCCTCCAGGTACATTACAAATTTTCTGCTAATCATTTATGTAAGTATGAATAAGTTTGTTTGGTTTTGTTTTTGTTTGGGTTTTTTTTTTTTCAAAATAGGTAGATCATGGACACTTTTTTCCCATAGCTGAGAAAGCACACCCATCAGCCCAAGTATTAGTAAATGTGTCTGACCATCCTGCACAGGTGAAACCTTTTCCTCAGTTTTCACTGTTAGGACTGCCCCTCATGAATCTGTGACCTTGGAGGCAAGGGGGACGGTATGGAGAGAGGAAATTTTTCCTCAAGTAGATGAGGACCAGGTTCGGGCCCACTTGGCCAAACTGGACATTCATAAGTCCATGGGCCCTGATGGGTTGCACCCACGAGTGCTGAGGGAGCTGGCAGACGTTATTGCTGGACCACTCTCGATCATCTTTGAGAAGTCGTGGAGAACAGGAGAGGTGCCTGAGGACTGGAGGAAGGCCAACATCACTCCAGTCTTCAAAAAGGGCAAGAAGGAGGACCCTGGGAACTACAGACCAGTTAGTCTCACCTCTGTCCCTGGGAAGGTGATGGAGAGACTCATACTAGATGTCATCTCCAAACAAGTTGAAGAGTGGGGGGTTATTGGAAGTGGGCAACACGGGTTTACCAAGGGTAAATCATGTATGACCAATCTGATAGCCTTCTATGATGCCATGACCGGTTGGTTGGATGAGGGGAGGGCAGCAGATGTCATCTACCTTGACTTCAGCAAGGCTTT